TCTACTGATCGTCTATGTCGACGATTTGCTCTACATCGGCTCCACCGACGACGTCACCACCTGGTTCGAAGGGGAGCTGCAGAAAGACCTCACGCTCACGGTCTCTTCTACCGTGACCCAGTACCTCGGGCTCAACATCCGCGAAGAAGAAAATGCGATCTACCTAAGCGCCGAGAAATACGCCGACACCATCGCCAAACGTTTTTCACTCACACCTACCGCCATCGCCACACCATACCGCTACACGGCAGGAAACGACAAGGGAAATTCCGCTCCACTCAAAGCTGCCGGAATACGAGACTACCAAAGGAAACTGGGCTGCCTTCTCTTCGCAGCTGTCACCTGTCGCCTGGCTCTATCCCACTCCGCAAGCCAACTCGCCACCTATCTCAAGAAATCCGAAGCAAAGCATCTGGCAGAGCTCGATCGCGCACTACACTACTTCGTGAGCACATCGACGATCGGCCTGACTTACTACAAAGGCGAAGCTACGACGACGAAACTAATCGGCTACGTCGATGCTGACCATGCCGGCGATTCTGATAACAGGCGCTCTCGCACTGGCTACGTCTATCGTCTCGAGCCTATCGGACCTATCTCCTGGCAGTCGAGTAAGCAGGAACTAATCGCTCTCTCTTCAGCTGAAGCAGAATATATCGCCCTCTGTTCAGCCACCAAGGAAGGACTCTACCTTCGCGAGCTGCTGGAAGAAGCAAAGTTAGCCGAGTTACCCAACTTCACCCTATTCTGCGACAACCAATCTGCAATTCGCATCGCCAACAAAAGCGGATTCGCGAACAGAACGAAGCATATCGCTCTGCGATACTTCTTCCTGAAGGACGAGATCGAGAAAAGGAAACTCGACTTATCCAAATGTCCCACGTCCGAGATGGCAGCCGATTATTTGACCAAGAAACTCGGAAAATAGAAGTTCGAGTACTGCATGATGCTGACCGGACAAGGCCACGTCACCATCAGCGACACTCCAGAAGCGAAGGGGAGTGTTGGGAATAATAAGTCTTAAGCGCCTCTGTCGTGTCGAAACTCAAGACACTAGCGAAGCAGTCCGAATCGAAGCATCGCGAGTCAACCCTCGGAGGTTAGGGTAACCGCCTGGAGGTTACGAGAAGGTCAAAGGTCAGCGACCTTTGACTTGACAAATATAGCGCGACAGCAAGGACACACAACTGACTCGACATTGAGCAGTTGCCCGAGTCGCACTGTATCGAATCGCAACAGCAAAACGGTTTTAACTTATCTATTCGTATTCCTTGTACTCTTATATAAACCTTTGTATTTGCTTGTTTAAATCAACTTACTTTGCCCTCACATACTAGCGCAAGGTGGTTCAAGTACTTTCATTCAAACGCTTCCGCTACTACAATTCTACTCAGACTTCAACTCTACAAAGATCCTAGGGCACTTCAGCCAGGGCAAATTTTTGGATTTGACATACCCTTAAGATCAGTGTACCCCTAGCTCAAAAAACTGATTATCAGTGTGACCCCCTATAGAAAAACTTTCCCATCAGGGTATTCTTAACTTTCTAAAAATTTACCCTGTCGCATCAGTGTAAGATTATTGTAAAGCCTGGTCAGTTTTTTTTAATGCTGCACGCAATACAGATCCTACTCATCATCAGACATGCCCCAAGGCTGTTCATCGTGGTCATTGTTGCTGCAGTCAGCCAAGTTTCCAGCCAACCTGGCCTTGTTGTCAAGTCTGACAAACATACCAACTAGCGGAGGTGGCGGTGCCAGCAAGGAAACTGTAACCCTGGCCAATAGTGGCCCTCTGTGTGCCAGCACAGGAGTTGTCAAAGCCGAAATTCCGGCCTCAGTGGCCTTGGTGGAATCCCAGGTTACGGGAAAGTGGGGGTGGGTGAACCGGGGGGAGGGGGGGGGGGGGGTAGGTTACGCGTTACAGGGTAAAACTTGATACGGGATCCGTAAACCCTTGGCCATCAGTGTGCCTTACAAAAAAAACCTGACACATCAGGGTAAATCAACCTCCCCAAAAAAAAACCCTAGCCCATCAGTGTGACCATAAAAAACCACCCTGATTATCAGGGTATCAGGGTGATTTACACTGGTAAAATTAGGCCTGACTTCAGCCCAACAATTGTCACGTTAAGAGTTGGAGGTAATGGAGCGGTGCTGCTCCATGTGTAGCTAACTGGCTGGCTGGCTGGCAGGGGCCGGCTCTACCACATGTGTCGACTCACCACCATCCGTTGACCGGCATTGATTCATTAGATGTGTTCCTCTTTCCGCATGATGGGTGAGAGAGTGCGATCAGTGCAATCCAATAAAGGCACCGCATTGTTGTGACATCCTTGCTCTGCCTGACTTGGGCAAACCTGGGTTACGAATAGTAATACGGTACTTGAATATTACTGTGCACTCCTCACCGCAGCAAAGAGAAGCACGCAGTATCGCGAATGAACGCGAAGCGTCAGACGGTTGGAAACGACTCGAAGCGTCAGACAGTTGGGACGCATCTGAACCGTCGGGCAGACAGCATCAGGCAGCAGCAGTGGCGAGGATTCTGCCCGAACAGTTTCGTAACTGTTCGCGCCGCACGGTTGGGAATGTATTTGAATAAGGGAATGTACCCCTTAGAGTACATGGCTAGCTAGGTCGTTTCATCTCCCCTGTACTCATATTTATATTTGCTGTATTTGCATGTTTTATTTCATCTCAAAGCATTTTACATTCACTCTGCTATTGAGGTCAAGGGCCCACCAACATCACTTCTCGGCGTGCGAACTTTCCTGAGTAGATCCTAGGCCACGATCAACTTCTGATCGCAGCTCTTGCCTCACCACCAGCACTCCAAGGGTTGAAGTCTATTGGGAAGTGCCCTGATTCAGCACAGCACAGCCTTCGCCATTAGCAGCTCCTTGCACCACTGGTTCAAACCCCTTCTAATGCCCATCTCGTGTGGCCATCACCCAACCTAAGTGTTGCTAGCATCCATCCATCCACTGACTCTGTAGGTCATGTGAAGGCAAAACCTCATGAATAATTTGGTATCTTTATTTAGATGGATAACTTCACTGTACTAAGCCATTGTAGGGCTGATGGAAGTTCGGTCGTTCGGTTAAGCTCGATGCCTCACGTTCGTACGCGGTACCACGCGAAAGAGGTTCGGTTCGGTTTGTAAGAGTCCAGCTACAAATGCAATCCCGAAGTCTCGCAGGCACGAGATAGTGAACAAACACCACCCGCCCCGCAGCTGTTGAACATGCACCTTCATATTCCAAGGAACAAATCAGTAATCTGATGAGCAAGGTGGCACCTGCTAGGGCATAACGTCGGTTGCTCCCTTAGTTCCGATTCGGCTCACTTTTCATATAATTAGACCGCTGATTACTTATTATCAGAGGTTTTGAATGAAGGGTGCAGAAAGGGAGGTGCGGATTCAGAGGGAGGGAAGGTCAGATGAGGAAGGAGACGGCGGGCGGGGTAGACGACGAGAGCGACAAGAGCGCCGGGCGAAACAAGTCAGCAGAAGTAGTGAGAATGGAGAGAGTGGGAGTGACAGAGAGATAGACAGAGAGAGAGACAGAGCGAGAGACAGGAAGAGTGACAGCGGAAGCAGTACCAGCAGGAGCCGTGACAGGGAGACGAGAAAGAAGGCTAGGAATGGCGGGAGTACGAAGAATAAGGCGGAGCGTGAACTTCGGCGTAGGCGAAGCCGAAGTAGGAGCAGGAGTCCTAGCGACAGCGACTCTGACGGTCGCGATCAGCGGAGGAGCTTAAAAGGCAAACGCAGGAGGCGCGATGCTAAGGGGAGCAGAAGAAGGAAACGAAGCCCGTCCGATGGAAGGAGCAGCGGCAGCAGTAGTGACAGTGACTCTGAGGGAAGGGGTCATGAGGTAGAAAAGAAGCGGTGAGAATCTGTCGTGCAGGTGTTTTTACAATTTCTGTATCTTCTTACGCTGTTCCTGCATCATTGCGAAGACCTTTCGGATTTTCTTAAGGCTGCGCCTTCAGGAGTCCACCCTTTCTGGCATTCTTCCAGCACTCTGAACACCATTCTTCCCATGCTTTTATAGGGTGCTTTTGAAATTTCTCAAACACGCCTCTCCTCTAGGGCATTATCCCTGCATTCTTCTAACACCCGCTCGTCCTGTGCCTCTCGCTCTATCTATTTTATGAACAACCAGTTTCCCACCCGTTTATATCGTGTTTGGTAGTTACTCGTCTCTTTTCTTCTTCTTGATTTTGATCCCACAACAGGCGAAAGAATACAAAAGGCAAGGCAAGCAGCGGTAGGAGCTTGAAGAAGCCAAGGGGGAAGAGGAAGAAGAGGAGGAGAGAGGAAGGGGATGATTCCAACACATCAGATGATGATAGCAGCGAAGAAGGGAGGAGTGGCAGTGACAACAGAAGCAGCAGCAGCAGCAGCAGCAGTAGTAGTAGTAGTGGTAGTGATGATAATAGCGAGAGCAGTGACACTGTAAGCAATAGTGATAGTAGTGGAGAGAGTGATAGCGAGGATAGCGGGAAGAAGCGGAGGAAGCAGACCAAAAAGAGGAACCGGAAAGGCAGGAGGAAAAAGCCAAAGAAAGGGAGGAAGGATGAGCGGAGGAAGAGGGGAAAGGACAGAAAGAAAGACAGGCACAAAAAGAGGAAGAGGCGCCAAGGCAGCAGGAAGGAAACGGGGAACGATGGGAGTCAAGGAGGGCTGGGAGGGAAGCTGCCTAACAATGCGGGGCCGCCTGGGAATGAGATGCTGGCGAATGGAGCGAATGGAGCAGCAGGGGCGGATGATGACGGGCGCAATGACCTCAAGAAATCCTTTGGTGACATGCATGTCGGTTCCTCCTTCCACTTCATCCCCTTCTCAGCTGACTTTTGAGTCGACTCAAAAGACATGCATGTCGGTTCCTCCTTCCACTTTATCCCCTTCTCAGCTGATTTTTGAGTCGACTCAAAAGACATTCCACTTCATCCCCTTCTCAGCTGACTTTTGAGTCGACTCAAAAGACATGCATGTCGGTTCCTCCTTCCACTTCATCCCCTTCTCAGCTGACTTTTGAGTCGACTCAAAAGACATGCATGTCGGTTCCTCCTTCCACTTCATCCCCTTCTCAGCTGACTTTTGAGTCGACTCAAAAGACATGCATGTCGGTTCCTCCTTCCACTTCATCCCCTTCTCAGCTGACTTTTGAGTCGACTCAAAAGACATGCATGTCGGTTCCTCCTTCCACTTCATCCCCTTCTCAGCTGACTTTTGAGTCGACTCAAAAGACATGCATGTCGGTTCCTCCTTCCACTTCATCCCCTTCTCAGCTGACTTTTGAGTCGACTCAAAAGACATGCATGTCGGTTCCTCCTTCCACTTCATCCCCTTCTCAGCTGACTTTTGAGTCGACTCAAACGACATGCATGTCGGTTCCTCCTTCCACTTCATCCCCTTCTCAGCTGACTTTTGAGTCGACTCAAAAGACATTCCACTTCATCCCCTTCTCAGCTGACTTTTGAGTCGACTCAAAAGACATTCCACTTCATCCCCTTCTCAGCTGACTTTTGAGTCGACTCAAAAGACATGCATGTCGGTTCCTCCTTCCACTTCATCCCCTTCTCCTCTCCCCCACTCCTGCTCGCCCACCTTGCTTTCAAATCGATCCACGATAATCCTTTGATGATCTCCATGTCGTTTTTTTCCGTCTACTCCCCTATCCTGCTCTTCCGCCTCTCTCTCTTTAATCCTTGCCTCGAGTAACCCTCCCCCCCCCCCCCCCCCCACCCCCCCCCCCCCCTTTGTGCCCATTTTTTCCTGCCTTTCTCCCTTTCCATCTTCCTCTCCCTCTATTCCTTTCAATCTTCGCATACGTTTCCTTCTGAGACATCTCAAAAGTCGTGATTTCTTGTTTTCCAACTTCTCTTTATATATTCTACTCGTTATTAACATTTTTCTCCCTTTATTCTGATTATCTCCTCGTATCTGCAGGCACGCATGATGGAGCAGGTGGAGCAGAAGGAGGTGCTTAGGCAACGGGCTGGTCTTTGAGTCGCCTCAGAAGGCTTTTCTCGCCTCAGAAGTCTTTTCTCTCCTTTTCCTGCACCATCTACTCTTGTGTGTGTGTGTCGTGACTCTGCAGGCACGCATGATGGAGCAGGTGGAGCAGAAGGAGGTGCTTCGGCAACGGGCTCAGCATGCAAAGGTACTGACTCAAAACGCGACTTTTCCCTCGCAGCCAACTTTTGAGGCACCTCAGAACTCAGCGTGCAACAGTACCATCTCTCTCTGGCGAACCGGCAGAACAATGAAAGAATATGCGATATATTCCCACCTATATGACGGTTGGAAGCATAGTTTTCTCTCCAAACTCCGTCTATAATCCCTCTCCACATACCCTGATTTCAGGAGCAATTGCGGTCAGGCGAGTGGAGGAAGGCGCAGGACGAGCAGGCCAACATGCAACGCTTCTTTGGCTCTGTTGACTGGAGGTGGGTGGTGGATTGAAGGACCGTTCTTGCATTGTTTATGAAGCTTAAGAATTATTCATAGCAGGTAGAACATGTTTGAATGGACCATTTATCTCTCTCCCCCTTGTCCCCTTCCTCCGTCCCCTCCTTCGTTCCCTCCTTTTCCTCCTCCTTTCCCTCGTCCCTTAGTCTTCTCCACTCCCCTCCTTCGACGATTCCATTCGTCCCTTGATCTTCATGCTACTTTTCACCTCACGTTCTTTCCCCACATTCTTTCTCACACCACATTCACTCTTATAACCCTGCCTGCCGGTTGTTTCCCCTTGCAGGGAGCAAAAGAAGCTTCGTATGGAAAAGAAGGTGAGTGCTTTGCTTCCTCCACAGTCACACTGCCCTCAGTCACTACTTCAATTGGCATGCGTATCTTTCTTGTCATGTTCGAGTCGACTTTTTTTAGAAATTTAAAGCCCAGCTGCACTGCCCGTCATTTACTCCCACTTTTGACATGGTTATGTTCTCTTTGCTTTGCTGCGATAACCTCCAAAACCACCACTTAAGACAGATATTTCCGACCGTTGCTCTGCTTTCTCCTGGCCCCTGCTCTCTTCTGGTTTGCAATGCTTTTGTCTCCTCGGCGACACACTCTACTCATCCTCTCTCGACCCCTTCTCAACCTCTCTCAATACATCAGAAACTGGAGCGCACAGTGCATGCGGGCAACGAGCTGGCAAAGCTGGACGCACACTGTGTTCCTGTCTTCATGGCGACTCGCTCACTCCATTTAACCCCTGTCAACCCCTTCTCAACCTCTCTCAATACATCAGAAACTGGAGCGCACAGTGCATGCGGGCAACAAGTTAGCAAAGCTGGAGGCGAAGGAAGCTGCAAGGATGGACGCCTTCCGCGCTGCGGTGAGATTCGTTGTCGCTCCCCTTAGTGCCTACTCCTCTTGAGATGTCTCAAAATTCAAAGCTGGAGGCGAAGGAAGCTGCGAGGATGGATGCCTTCCGTGCTGCAGTGAGTCGCTGTAGCTCCTTTTAGTACCTTCCCCTTTTGAGGCAACTTCTGGGAAGTTTTTTGAGACATGTCAAAACCCAAAGCCGGAGGCAAAGGAAGCTGCAAGGATGGACGCCTTTTGAGCTGCGGTGAGATTCCTTGTTACCGCGGAATAAGTTTTCCTTTCGAGATGTCGTTTAAAACCTCTCCTGGGACATCTTTTAAACCATCCATCCCTCAAAGCTCGAAGCTGGAGGCGAAGGAAGCTGTGGACGCATTAGTAAAAAGGAATCCAGCTTCCTTCCCCATAAGGGGAAGGTACTAATGGAGGCGAAGGAAGCTATGGACGCATTTCGAGCTGCTGTGAGGTTTGTTCTCTCCCATTAGTACCTTCCCCTTATGAGGCACCTTTGTGACGACTTTTGGACCATTTTTTGAGACGTCTTTTGAGACGTCATCCCTTTCCACTCCGTTGCAATCCTCTCCATCCCTTTCCACTCCATTGCAATCCTCTCCATTCCTTTCCACTCCATTGCAATCCTCTCCATTCCTTTCCACTCCATTGCAATCCTCTCCATCCCTTTCCACTCCATTGCAATCCTCTCCATCCCTTTCCACTCCATTGCAATCCTCTCCATTCCTTTCCACTCCATTGCAATCCTCTCCATTCCTTTCCATCCGTCCCACTCCTGCCATGGCATCCGTCCCACTCCTTTTCACCGCTTTCCACTCCTTAGCACTCTTCACTTCCCTTCTCCTCCCCCCTTCCGCCTCACAGCTGGGTCTGCCCTCGTCAGAGGAACAGCGACAGGCGGAGTGGAGGGCAGCAGCCACCCAAGGGACACCAATGGCATCCGTTTCACACCGTTTTACTCTGTTCCACTTCATTCCACTCCATCACTCTCTTCCTGCATCCTTTCCTGGACCCCCTCTGTCTCTCACAGCTGGGTTTGCCTTCATCGGAGGCACAGCGTCAGGCAGAGTGGAGGGCAGCAGCCACCCAAGCCATGGCTGTTGCAGATGCTGAAGCTGCTGCTGCGGCTGTGGTTATTGCTGCTGCTGCTGCTGGTCCTTCTAGGAATGGTGGCTTCAAACGAGTGGACAGCAAAGAGAGAAGATAGCATGTTGGGGCTGCTGCTGCTGCTGACGCTGCTAGTGCTGCTGCTTCTGCTGCTGCTGCTGCTTCTGCTGCGTTGAGGGATGATGGCATTAAACGAGTGGACAGCAGAGAGAGAAGATACTAGCAGAGACACGTTACACTTGCCATTGCTGCTACGGGTGCTGCTGGGGAGTCGGCAAGGTCAGAAGGGTCAACAGGGTCAATAGTTGGGTGACTGGCAGTCAACAGCACATCAACCGAAACACTGTAGATTTGTTCCAGAATATCATACTGTATAAGTTTTATTAGTACAGAGTTAACATTTCCTCTGAGAGAATCAATTGTGCATGAAGATTTTGAAACATGTGACAAGCGCCGAAAGCAAAGAAAAAGGCAGTCCGTCTGGATCAGTCTTCTTTTCGCTTGCTCACATCACCACTGCCGCCATCAGAAATCGATCTTCTCATAGAAACATACGCCAACAAGGAGGAGGAAGAAACCTTTCCAGGCAGTCTTCCCCTAGTGGGGAAAGACGGCGAGTAAGCACTGAGCTCAGCAGCAGCAGAGGAGAAGGGCACCGAGCGGGGTGAACCAGTGTCACAGGATGCCACGGGAAACAAGTTATGAGAGTTGACCAATTCCCCAGGCCCAGGACAACGCGCCGATCCAGCTTTTCCCACAACCCTTTCTGAAGTTAGGCTTGGCGCCGAACGTGTAACCAAGCCTTGCACGAGCCTGTTGTCACCAAGACCGGATTCCAAGCCTCCCTCTCCTTGCTTTCCCTGACCTGAGCTGCTTTTCCTCGCTCCCTTACCTCCCCGTCCTCCTCTCCCTTTCCTTCCTGAATCCCTCCTCTCCTCCCTTCTCTCCTCTCTGCCTCCCTTCCCTCCAAGCCCTGTTTCCCCTCCTAACCCTATCTCTCCTCGATACGCCTGTTCTCCCGCTACTCCCGACCAAGACTTTCCAAGAATCCGTAGCCGCGAAAACCATCCTTGAAACGGATTCAAACGGATGTGATTGAAACGAAGGTGTTTCACGAACCACAGCCACCGACCAGGGTTTCTGCCGGCCGCTTGGACGGCCGCGACGAACGCGAACACCTTAAAGGGTCCGTCTATAAAGGAGATGAACGAGCGGTAGTGGGAAAAGGCGCAGGACCAGCGGTAACTGCAGAAGGGGAGGGCTGCGAGCATGATGAGCAGCTGGATACCGCTACCGAGGATGAGTATAGCGAGTATGGACGCCGCGAGTTGCGCGGACCAATCATGGTGGCGGTGGCGGGTGTGATTGTACGGGGGGTGTGCCGGCTGGGTGGTGGGGTGAGAGGAAGATCTCGTTATAGCCACTGCGCATGCGGGGGGTGGGGAAGGCGGGGGAGGGGGGAAGTCGGGAAGAGGGAAGGCGGGGGAGGGGGAAGGCGGGGGAAGGGGAAGGCGGGGGAGGGGGGAAGTCAGGAAGGAGGGAAGGCGGGGGAGGGGGAAGGCGGGGGAGGGGGGAAGTCGGGAAGGAGGGTGGGACGGAGAGGGGTGCGGGTGTGGAGAGGGGAAGGTGGAAGAAGGCGATGCATCGGATTAGAGCAAGGGAGAGGGGTCACGGAGATATTAGTCTCGTCTGGTACGTTTCGTCTGCGCAAGCTAACCGATTTTGTATGTTCGACAGCTCAGCATGAACACGCGTATGGTGTCGGCCACGTCAGCCACCAGTCAGAACAACGCCGAGTCACCGTATTCTTAACTGTATCTTATCGACGCTACATAACGACACCGTATCTTTAGGCTACGGTCGACGGTCCGACTGTTGAAGCGGGTCGAACGACGGTAAGACTAGACTACATGCTAGCAGCAGCTCAGAAACACCAGCGAAATTCGGTATGCCAGCGACACGCACCTCGCCAGTGGTACGTCCCCGATTGTATCACATCCGATTCAGTCAGTACGAGCGGTGCGCCTTGGGACGCCTTGTCCCCGAGCACGAGACAGCCCGGCGACCCCGTGAGTCGCTCCAGCGCGTCGCATAACTCGCCGGCCGGCTTGCCGCCTAGGAACTGCGCGAGTACGGCGTCGGAGCGCGCATCGCGGACGACTATGGCTGTGGGAAGAGGGAGCACTCGCGCTGGTGCCATGCAATGTGGGTGATCCCACCAACCAGAAAACGTGCTAGAATTCAATTAATTTAACTTTACAATATACTAAGTTTTTATCATGGATATCGGCCTATTAGCTCAGTTGGTTAGAGCGTCGTGCTAATAACGCGAAGGTCACAGGTTCGAAACCTGTATGGGCCACTACCTTGTTGTGTTTTACATTTTAAGTAATTGTTGCTCAATGTTGTGATTCCTGCTCAGACTGAATTCTATTATTTCCTAGCGCGTCAGGACTTCACACCGTTTTTTGTTTTTTTTCATGAAGAGGCCAATACTTCGTATAGATATGGCCTGTATGCATTTCTGCGGCACAACGCTTCCGACCAATTTGTAATGCATAGATCTGGCTCAGAATGCAGTTTAGAATATAAGTTCATTGTTCTGTCTGATTTTTATTGTAGCATGAAACGTGTAGGATAGAAGCATGTAGAGTTGGAATTACATTTATCTACGCTGATGATGTAAGGAATGCTATGTGGGTGTAGGGTTGAAGCAATTTCGAGAAGTCAGCGACTTTATGTGGGTGTTACGCCACAATGGCGGTGGAATTTCGCTGCCAGCAGGGACGGATCGCATGACCGAGTTCAATCTGCCCTGGGCTGAACTCGCGTCGCAGTCGTTACAGGCACACGAACTGTATGGCTCTCACATTCCAGGTGATAATGAGGATGGCTCCTCCTCGGACGGCCTTTGACCTTGGCGATTGAGCATACGAAGGTTACGGACGATTGGAAGGTCTCCTAACAGATATGATGCGATATAAAGTGGTTCTATTCCTCGTTTGCCTACGGAAATGCGGAAGATCCATGCGACGTAGCCGTAGTTTCTCTATCCTATCCGCTCTCGGCACTCTCCCTGCGACGATTTTGGTAGGCCAGCAAGAGTACCTAGTCTCTAGAAGCGCTCATATGACTAGAGCAGCACAACAGCCCCTTTTGTGTTGGACCCAGGTTTTGTCTCATCAGACCGACCGCTTTTCAGCAACTCCAGATTGTGTCCAGTTCGTTAAACCCGCCTTTTCTGAAAAACAGTTATCTTGTCAGGAAGCACACAGCCCACATCGTGTATGTTTTGCCTAGTGTTGGGCGTTATACAGAACCATTCGTAGGAACTCACATCCGCTAGAGGGATATGTATCACCCACGCCCTTCTCGCGCTGGGCCGCGCGCCGTCGCGCGGTACTTGGAAACCGTCAGCGACCCTCACGATCACGAGCGACGTCGCGCGAAGGTCACTGCGATGTCGAACGACCTCAACTCCATTCGCCAGCGGTTTCGCGAGGTGCAAGAGGACGATGCGTACCTATCGCAGGAGCTCGAGCGCATCCAGCGGCAGCGCGAGGAAGAGGCGCGCCACGAAGCGAAGCTGGATTTCCGCGGGCTTCGGCTCTACCGCGAGTTGACCTCCACATCCGAACCCATGTACTGGCGCGAAAATCCCGAGAAAACGGAGACCACGGGAGCTAAGCCAACCGCTCCGGCTGCTGGTAACCCTGGTAACCCTCCAGGTGGTAACATGTGGAGTTACTCCTCCGTCGCTCCCTCTTCCTCGGTTCCGAAGCTGCAGCATATGGTTCAGCCGTCCGCTTCCGGAGTTACATTCTACAGCGCGAATGGCGGCGGAAGGAGCGGGCGAATTGAGACGTACGAGAGTGCGGTGAATAGCGGTGGAAGCGAGGGGAAGAAAGCTGAGAGCAAGAAGAGTAGTGGTGGTTTCGCGAGCTGGCTGATGGGAGGAGCGGATCAGGAGCAGCATCTGCTGTGGGATAAGCCGGAATATAAGGAGGGCGAGGCGAAACTGATTCTGTGAGGGAAGATTAGAGGTCGACGTAGCTAAAATTAGTATTTCCTCGTAGGAGGACCGTGGAACTAAGTGATCGCATCAAAGAGCGTGTGAACTTCTCAGTCACACATCTGCATAATTATCTGTTTTCCAGTGAAAGATACCAAGTCTTCATGTAGTTCTTAGCTCAGTGAATTTGTCTCATGATGTGATTCCTCGATGTTCAACTGTATAATGCGACTGAATTACAAGGAACGATAAATATTCGCGATACAATACTTTAGATTACACATATCCAAGTATACTTCCAAGGAAACGATATTTTTTTTATAACAGAGGCAAGTGTACCAGAACAGCCATTGGTGAGGTGTTTTTGCGAGTGTCTGCTATGCTACTAGCCCCATAATCATGTCGGGAAGAATAACTCGTTATGGTTTTTTCTGTACAATCACATGTGAGAGTTCGGAGCCACGTCCCTTCACATCTGAGCCCCTTCGACGTGGCAAGCGACTCGTAATGCGAAGCGCTCGTGGTTACAGCAGGCGTCGTTGACGCACCGCGGATTCAATGTCGAGGGCGACCGCGCTTCGACAAGCAAGCAAGCAGCCAACCAATCCACTCCACTCCATCCATGATTTCATCTCCCTCGTTGTTGCCCCTCCGCCCCTCCCTTCCGTCCCTTCCCTTCCCAAATCCAGCCCTCCCCAACCCTGTTGCCCCTGTTGCGATGTGAGATGTTCCATTCTATCTCCTCTCCGTACCCAAATCTGGCTCAAACCAGGCTGATCCCCACCATCGGTATGCTTGACCACTCCCACATGCCCGCACCACAGCGCATTTCATTTATTCTGTCACCTTGTTATCCCACTTCCTTTATGGTGACTTCTGAGTCTGTGGTGTCGTAGCTTCCACATCGTGGTTTAGTGTGACGTTCAGGAGCTTCTCCTCTAGTCGCGGTCGTGTAGACTTGGAACACTTGTCTCGTGGAACAAGGGTTCCACGAATGTACTCTGTCTAGTTTTAAGGAAACTTACCATATTTCACATTCTGAAGGATATAGTAGAAATTCTCAGCAGAGTAAGGACATAGCATGTATTCCCACGCGCCTTACGGCGAGCGGCGGCGGGGCCGCCCGTCGCCCGCGGAGTTTTACCTCGAAGACCGCGGCGAGCGCGAGCGACGTCGCGCGGAGATCGGCGGATTCAGCAAGGACCTGGACGAGATGCGACAGCGACTGCGTGCGATGCGAGTGGAGGAGACGCAGGAGATTCAGCAGCTGCGGCAGAAGCAGGAACAGGCGGCGTTCGAAGCGGAGCAGGCGCAGAAATTGCGCGAGCAGCAGATTCTCCTCCTGCAGAAGCAGCGCCAGTTGTCTTACGCCACGTGGCGCGGCGAAGGCACGCGTCCGTATGAGTCGCCGTTCGATAAGGAGTCGGAGCTGCTACCCTCCGCGTATCACGCTGTGGTCGGCAAGCCGCACTTACCCGTCGCGAACGCACCAGTAAGAGTCGACCACGTGGAGCTTCCTCCCCCGGTTTGGTCCGCGTCACGTTCGTCCGCGAGCCTCTTCAACTACGCGAGCCGCGGCACTGGCTCTATTAGTCGGGCCACCGGATCCGGCGCGCGCGGCTTGGGCGCCGCAATGCCCGGCGCCAGCAGCGGCGCGAGCCGGAGCAGCGGGGGAAGCAGCTTGTCAGACGCCGTTTGCTCTAGCAGCAGCAGCGGCGGCTGTGACGTGACGGCTAGCCGTCAGCACTACGGGAGCAGGTACGTGACGGCCGGGGCCTACGGTCACGGCGGTATCGCGAATGACGTGGCGATGACGTCACACCCGTTTAGCGGCGTTGTCCCTCCGTACACCGGCTTCAGCTTGAAGAGCGCTACGAGCGAGGCTGGCGAGAGCGCCCGATACAATCACACGCGCAGCGCAACCAGCAGCAGCAGCACGGACGAAATCGACGACTCCGCGGATTTCAACCCGCGCAGCCAGGGCAACCCGGTCGCGCTACCCGTTCCGAAACTCCCCATTCCGCCTGCTCGCGCGCCTAACCCCCTCGTTGCTGCCTTACCGCAGACCATCCCGCTCGCTACTAGCACATTCGATAGTGGCGCTCAGGACAGTGTCATGGCGGGTGTTTCGTCCTCGCCGCCGTCCGAACCTTTGGAGGAGCTGCCATCTGAACCGTCCACCCCGATCGTCCTCTATTCGCCCACCGCGTTCGCCGCTCGCCACCCCTCCATCCAGCCGTCGTTTAGCTGCTTTCTCACCTCCTCCGCACTGCACTCCTCCGCTTCCCCCTTTTCCTCCTCCTCTCCCCCTTCCACCTCCGCCTCCTCGTTCTCCTCCCCCGTATCCTCGTCTTTGTCAGCCTCGCTATCCGCTACTGCTGATGCTGCGGATGCTGCCGATTCCGATGACGCGCCTCTTCTTTCGTCATCGACTAAACGTGGCTCTGCGCACGCTGCTCGTTATAATCACTACGCGGAAGACGCGCTCAAGGCTTCCGCCTGGAGCCCTCCGCGCGGCTCTCTTTCGCCCCCTCCCAGCGGTTGCGCGGATGCTGTTATTGACGAGCCCTTGCCGCCCGCAGCCACGTCAGCGCAATCAGACGTGGCAGATGTGACTTGGCAGGCACCCGAGTCCTCCCCTGCGCATTCCTTCGCTCACTCCGCAAGCCGCGCCGCGTTCGACGGTGGAGTTACTCCTTCTCTGCCTCATGCATCTCTTTTGATGTCTTCTCACGACTTCGCGGAAAATTCGGATGAAGTAGCAAAGGCAGAGGCAGCGGCGAACGCGGCTAGCACCGTACCTGGCGCCGCATCTTCCGCCGCGAATAGCGCCGCAACATCCGCCGCCGGTGGCAGCTCGTTTTCTCTCGGGAACCTCTTCTCATGGACGCGCGCAGAAGCGACAGCGCAACCGCCCAAACCTGTGTCACTGCCGCCCACGCTTTCTCTCGCTTCAGCACAGGTGTTCACGGGACCAGAATTTCACTCCACGTCATCCTACTTCGTCTCCACGTCATCAGGCAGCTCCAACCGTTCGATCAACGGCTACGATGCCGAATCGGAGGGCATCGACGGCTCACGGGCCAAGGAGGGGAAAGGAGGGGAGAATGGATTTGAGAACATTAAAGAGGATGACAGTAACGAGTTCGACGAGCCGCTTTATTTGCTGGACACCAAGCACGGGTCGCGCAGGGAAGTGGGGTGTGATTATAGCGAGAGCTCCACTAAGGAGCCTTCGTCTGCTGCTCTGAATAGAGCTTTGAGCAAACTCGCTGAAACAAATGGCGCTTCGCATGCCACCGCTGCTGCTGATGTTTCAGCTACTGCCGCTGCTACAACCGCTGCTGCTACAGCCGCTCCACCCGGGGGGTTGGCGAGCATGAGCTTCACTAGCCGGCTGAGCCAGCTGATTGGCTTAGGCAGTGGCGGCGGTAACAGTAACGGTAGCAGTAACGGGAACAGTGACAGTAACGGTGATGATACAGGTGCCGGCAGCAGTGTTGGAGGTGGCATTGGCGGTGGGAAGGGATACGCGTTATTGAGCTTGGATGAAGGCGACGCGGTGACGTTTAACGAAGCGAGCCCGTCTTGCTGGGCTCCCACGTCAGCAGCCACGTCAGCAGGCACCACCACCACTAGTGCTCCTCCTGCTGCTTTGTTTGCGAGCATGGGAGGTATGGAGATTGAGAATGGTTTGGAGGCGCTTCGAAGCGCGGAAGCGGGAGATACGGCGACGGATGGAGAAGCGGCCATGGATGGGGTGGTTCTGCTCGCTGCTGCTGCCGCTCCTGCTTCTCCTCCCCTTCCCTGCCGTGATGCCCCTGCTCCTCCCGCAACCCCTGCAGTCCCCGCTGTTACCGCAGTTTCCGCTGCTTCTGCCCCTGCTGTTGCTTCTGCCGCTGCTGCTGTTGCCGCTTCTGCCGCTGCTGTTTCCGCTGTTTCTGCCCTTGCTGTTGCTTCTGCCGCTGCTGCGGATGCTTCTGGTTCTGTTGCCGACTCCTTATCCGCGACAGGCAAGGGGAAGGCGCCCAAGTCGTCGTCTAAAGCGGCTGCTGCGGCCGCCATTGCTGCCGCCGCTGCCGCCAAGATCGCCGCGCTGGGGATTGGGGGGAAGGCGGAGGAGAAGCGGCATGCGGAAGGGGGGGAGTCGGGAAGCCGGGGGGAGGAAGAAGGGGGAGAAGGGGAAGCGGATGAAGACGAGGAGGAGGAGGAGGGCGGAGAGAGGAGAGAGGGAGCGCGGAAAGCGTTCTGGGACGAGGGGGAGTATGAGGGGGAGGGAGAGGCGGAAGAGGAGGTGAACGAGATATTGGAGCTTCAGGAGTGGATGGAGGCGCAGATGCTGGTTGAGGGGGTGCGGAGGGCGCTCACGCGCGGAGGGACCGGGGGAAGCGGAGCGGTCGGGGGAAGCGGAGTGGGGAGAGTGAGTGAGGTGGAAACTGGAGGGGGAGGAGGGGGAGCGGCAGCAGCAGGAGCAAGAGCAGCAGCGAGTGTGTGTGATGCTGAGATGGAAGCATGGATGCTTGCTCTGCCTCCGCTGGTGGTGATGGCTCGTAGTGACGATGGTGTTGAGGAGACTAGTGAGGAGGAAGAGGTGGTGGAAGAGGAGGGAGAGGAGGTGGAAGAGGAGGGAGAGGAGGTGGAAGAGGAGGTAGAGGTGATTGAGTTGGAGGAAGGGGAGGAGCTGGAGGAGGGAATGGAGGTGGTAGAGATTTTGGAGGAGAGGGAGGAGGAAGAGGAGTATGAGCAGCATGAGGAGGAGCATGAGGACGCAAGGGAAGAAGCGGAGGTTGTGGAAGAGGGTAGTGAGAGTGCGAGCGACAACGAGTGTGATGAGGATGGGCATGGTGGGGAGGCGTATGGAAGTGAGGGAGAGGAGGAGAGGGAATTTGGCAGTGAATGTGGAAGTGAGTATGAGAGTGAGAGGGAGAGAGATGAGGGGAGTGTGAGTGAGAGGGGCAGTGAGTGTGGGAGTGAGAGTAGAAGCGAGAGTGGGAGTGAGTGTAGGAGCGAGAGTGGGAGTGAGTGTGGGAGCGATATTGGGTCAGTGAGTGAGGCGAGTGAGGGTGTGAGTGTGAGGAGCGGAAGTGAGAGTGAGGATGAGAGGGAGGAGAGAGAAGAAAATGAGGATGAGAGTGAGGATGAGAGGGTGGAGAGTGAGGAGGAGAGGGAAGAGGGTGAGGAGAGGGAGGAGAGTGAGGAGGAGAGAGAAGCGGAGATCAAGGAGTGCGGTGGTAGTGATGGAGGGGAAGTTGGTGAGAGCGAGGATGAGAGGGAGGAGAGAGAAAAAGATGAGGGCGAGAGAGTGGAAATTGAGGAGGAGATTGAGGAGTGTGGTGGTAGTGATGGAGGGGAAGTTGGCGAGAGTGAGTGTGGGAGTGAGAAGGGAGAGGAGGGCAGTCTGGAGAATGAGGGAGAGAACGAGGATGGGGAGGAGGGAGGTGAAAGGAACGCGGGAGAGGAAGCTGCTGAGAGTGAGTGCGGGAGTGAGTGGGAAGAGGAAGCGAGTTTGAAGAGTGAAGGAGAAAGCGAGGATGAGAGGGAAGAGGGCATTGAAGCGAGGGAGGAGGAGGAAATGGAAGCGAGGGAAGAGACGGAGGAGAAGGTAGAGAGGGAAGAGGAGGAAGGGATTGATACCGAGGAGGGAGCTGAAACAAACAGTGAAGAAGCAGAAGAAATAGTGAAATCAGAAGAGGCAGAAAGTGAACTGAATGGTGCATGTGAGGACGCGGGTATAGTAGTGTGTGAGGAGAGTGCTGAGAGTGTGGAAGAGGCACAGGAGGAAGAAGAGGAGGGACAGAAGGGAAAAGGAGTGCAGGAGAGTGTGGAGTTGAGTGGTGTGGAGAGATTTGAGGGGAAGGACGATGCTGCTTCGTGCATTTCCCCTTCGTGCAGCGATGAGGGGAGTGTGATGGGTGGAGAGGGACACGTTAAGGAGAGAAGGGATGAGACAACAGACGTGGCAGGGAGCGCTGACCTGGCGGGAACCGTCCTTGATGCTGCTGATGTGGCCGACGGTGCAGACGTGACAGAAGGAGCCGACGTGGCTGAAGATGCGGATGTGTCAAGTTGTGCTGATGTGGCAGAAGGAGCTGATGTGTCAAGTGGTGTCGACGTGGTAGGAAGTCCGGAAGCATGTGACAGGCTGGCAGAGGACGCTGGATTAGGCGCAGGGGGGAAGGAGGAAGGGAGTGAGGAGGAAAGTGAGGAGGGAAGTGAAGAGGAGAGTGGGGAGACGACGGGTGAGGACGAAGCTGGTGTGGAGGAAGAGAGCGGTGGGGCTGAGGAGAGTGTGGAGGAAGGAGTAGAGAGAGAGGAGCACCAGGAGGTAGCTGAGGAGGAAAGAGAGGATGAGGAGGTGGAGGTGAAGGGAGAGGAGGGCGAGGAGGGAGAGGAGGTGGAGGTGGTGTATGAGTATGTGAGTGAGGGGAATTCGGAAGTAGGGGAGGAAGTGGAAGTGGAGGAAATGGACGAAGCAGAGGGAGAGGAAACTGAAGAGAAGGAGGAAATGGAGGGCGAGGAGGTGAAGGAGGGAGAGGGGCATGAGGAGGAGGACGAGGGAGCGAGGGAAGAGGGAGTTGAAGTGGAGGAAGAAGAGGAGGTATTGGAAGCACAGGCAGAAGAGGTGGAAGAGGAGGGAGCGGAGGAAGAGGGAGAGGTAAAGGAGGAGGAAGAGGAGGGAGCGGACGAGAAGGAAGAGGAGGGCGAGGAGGAAGAGGTAGATGAGGAGGACGAAGAGGGAGTGATATACGAGTACGTGAACGAAGAGGATCTCGAGGACGGGGAGAAAGAAGAGGAGGTGATGGAAGAAGCACAGGCAGACGACGGGGAAGAGGTAGCGCAGGAGGAGGGAGAGGAGGTAAAGGAGGGAGAGGAGGGAGTTATATACGAGTATGCTAATGAGCAGGATCCTGAAGACAGGAAGAAGATGGAGGAAGCGACGGAGGAAGGAGTGCAACTAGAGGAGGGCGAGAGGGAAGAGGAGGGAGAAGAGGAGGAAGAGGAGGGAGAAGAGGAGGAAGAGGAAGAGGGAGAAGAGGAGGAAGAGGAGGGAGTGATCTATGAGTATGTGAACGAGGAGGATCTCGAGGAAGGGGAGGAGATCGTTGAGTTCGTGTATGAAGACGAGGAGAGAGAGGAGGGAGTGGGAGAGGAGGGAGAGCAGGGAGAGGAGGGAGAGGAGGAGGTGGCAGAAAGTGGGGAAGAACAGGAGGAAGGGGAAGAGTATGAAGAGGAGGAAGGAGAGGAAGCGTATGAAGTAGTGGAGGAGTTGGAAGAGGAGGACGGGGGAGAGGGTGGGGAGGAGGGAGAAGAAGAGGAGGAAGTTGATATATTGGAGGGCGAGGGGGAAGGGGAGGAGGTGGAGGAGATATTATCGGAGGATGAGCGGGAAAAGATGCTGGATGATAATGGTTACCTTGATGATGGTGGGGAGGAGGGGGAGGTGGAAGAGGGGATTGTAGGAGAGGAGAGTGTGGGCGCGGAGAGTGTGGGCGAGGAGGATACGTTGGATGGTGGGGAAAAGGGGGAGGTGAAGGAGGAGGGACAGGAGAGTGTGGGAGGCATGGAGAGGGACGGAGAGGACGGTGAGGTAGGAGTGGGGAGTGAGGATGGAGAGGGAAGCAGGGGAGAGGAGGGGAAAGAGGCGGAGGGAGAACATGGATCTGGAAGTGAGGAACACAATAACGAGGATGGGGAATGGGAGGGGGGTGCTGAGGAACGTGAGGATGTGAGTGTGGGTGGGGAGGAGGGGAGTGAGTATGGTGATGATGTGAGCTTGGGGAGTGATGAGGAGTACGAGGATGTTCAGGAGGAGTATGAAGAGGTGGAGGAGGAACTGTCTTACACTATGAGTGAGGGGGAGGGTGGGGAGGAAGTGAGTGAGGGAGGTGAAGAGGGAGAGGGTGAGGGAGTGGGAGAGGGAGAGGAAGGAGAGGCTATTGAGGAGGGTGTTGCAAACGGTTCAGAGGGATCTGGGGAGGAGATTGAGGAGAGCAGAAGTGGAGAAGAAGATTCGAGTGCACATGATTCGCCTCACATGAGGATTGAAGAGGAGAGAGTGATGGGAGATGGAGGTATGGAGAAGGATGAAGAGGCGGTGTCCGAGGATGGAGAGTGGGAGGAAGTGGGGTCAGAGGAAGGCTCGTGGGAAGATTCAGAGGAATTCTCAGAGGAGGGTTCACATGGGGGCGAGTTGGAGAGCACCGGACAAGAAGCAGCAACCAGTGCTGCCTCTACACCAGCGCAAAAGGAGCAGAAGCAGAGGGCAGGGCGGAGGCGGCGCAGGGTGCACAAGGCGGGAGTGTCGTTTGGGAAATTCATCCCCGCTGAGTTGAGCGAGCTGGAGTCCCACGAGCTGGAGGGGGAGGGCGAGGCGGAGGGGCACAAAGGGGAAGAGCAGGATAAGGGAGTGGTGCTGTGCGGTTGAGCTGGGCTGAGAGGTGCAGGGGCGGGGGTGTCGTTTGGAAAATTCATCCCCGCTGAGCTGAGCGAGCTGGAATCACACGAGCTGGAGGGGGAGGCAGAAGGAGCAGAAGGAGCATGTGCAGCGAATGGTGGTGCTGTGGCGCAGAGCTCAGATGAGATGAGATGAGATGAGTTGAGCTGAGCTGAGAGCAGGGTGCACAGGGTTTAGGGTGGCAGTGTCACTCATCCCCCCTGAACTGAGTAACCTGGAGTCCCATGAGATGGAGGGGGAGGGCGAGGGGCACTAAGGAGAGGAGCAGGAGAAGGACAGAGCGGTGTTGTGCGGTTGAGGTGAGCTGAGTGAAGTGGAGTCCCAAGAGAGCTGAAGTGGTGGGGGGGGGGGGGGGGGGGAGAGGGCGAGGGGTACAAGAGGGGACAGCATGAGTGTTGAAGGTTTTGTGAGGGGCAGGAGAAGAACTGATTGGTGCTGTGCGGTTGAGCTTGGGAGAGTCTGATTTGATGAGTTGGAGCGAGGAGCAAGTGGGAGAGCAACAGGAGGAGCAAACGGAGCAACAGGGGGAAGAGGTTGAGCCAAGGGTGTGTGCTTGAGGCGAGGTGGCTGGATTGCCTTGCTTTGTGCCATTACACAATAATGGTATCGATTAGGCCACCAGTGGAGGCTTGATGCTGGACTTGGTGTCGGTAGGTTCTGCAACTGTAGCTTGGTGCAATGCTGTTTAGCGTAGGGAGCTCTTTGTTCTCGTTTGTTAGGGGCGGTTACCATGTATGTGTGTAGTTAGTGCTGCCAACCTCCTTTAGCTTGTGAAACTTGCGCCTCATTGAACAGAATGTATGCTTGTGTGTTGCCTCCTAGTTTCTTGGGCTGTTTGACGATGAGCAATCTACAACAAGAATGAGCAACGATGCCCTTAAAGCCCCCATTCCACTCCCCCTCACCCCCCTTTATCCCCCTCTTACCGTACCACTTTCCACTTTCCCTACTACTGTAACATACCAAGGACCAACAACAAATGCATGTACAAATGTACACCAAAAGAACTGCAAGAGATTGCATCACCCAAATGTTTGAGCTGGTTTTGTTATGCTTTTATAGCTCCCTGTCACCATTTCTGAGCCGAAAGCTCTTTCATTGGTTCTTGTCTTCAAGGCCTATTTTGAGGGTGAGGTTTCTGCTTGGTATGTGGTGAAGTAAAACCATTTTTGAAGTGTTTGTTTATTACAATTGCAGCACAGATGCTTGACTGCTTCTGGCATCCCCTTGCGAGCTTTTCTGCACCAACCATGGGATGGTTCGCATGGTATGAAGAGATATCCAATCATAAGCTCGCTTTTTGATCAACCAATAACCTGTCGTCTCGCGCGTGACCGTGCGACTCGTGAGGGCACTGACAACATCAGCCCTTAGTTTGCGTCTCTTTCGCCAGGCGCTGATCAGTCCCGAGACGAAACCTTTCGTGGCCGGGCAGACTGCAAATTCAGTGCGGCGACAAACAAAGTCCTACAGTATGTGTGGTTGGATGGATGGATCCGCGAAGTCTGACGGAAGCCGGCTGAGTGTCAGCTGAATGGACGGGAAAGTCATGAAACAGACAGAAGAAGTTCAACTGTAGGTAACGGAGCGGAGCCGACAAACGCAAGTGGAGCGGAGAGATGGGAGAGGGGAGAGGGGAGAGGGGAGAGGAGGGATGAATGAGAGAAGTGGAGGAGGCCCGTGGCGAAACCCTAGCCCCACCAGCCGTTTCCCCCTCCCAACCAATCCCAGTGAGAACAAACCCCGAGGTTTGTCGGAGTTACGGCGAGGTGAGTAGTAGGGGAGAAGAGTTATGGATGGAGGAGCCACTCTTCTGTTGGTCTATCACATCACTGCTCATTGGACCCACAACACCATGGTCACGACTCATGAGGAAAGCCAGCTAGAAAGAGTCGGATTCATTGGTATTTCTGAACCAAACTGAGAAGCTTTCATGTTTGTGTTGAGGTTACGTGCAGCTGCTGCTTCCTTCCAACGCTCTCCTGCGCTGGGGCTTGCGTAGAGCTCGCCCCGAGATGTCACTATGGCTTTAGCTAGTGCCGTTTTAGGGCGTCGGCTCAGCCCTGAGTTTAGAGTCGCGAGGGTAGTAGCGCAGTCGCGTCAGAACTAGCGTCTCATCTCGAGGCTTAGTTCAGGTCCGTCTACGTCCGTCCAGTTCCGTCCGGGTCCGTCCAGGAATGGCTAAGAACAGGAGGAGCTCCGGCGTGGGGTCTTCGGATCCCAGCGGCGCCGCTGCCGGGTTGTCTAGGAGCGGCAAGCCCGGAGGCGTGTCGGGCCGGCTGGTGAACGTGTTCGAGCAGCTGTGGAACCGTCGCAAGTTCGACATTCTGGGACGCAAGGTCAAGGGCGATGTTCGCGCCAAGTCCATCGGCAAGGCCAGGAGCGCGGCTGTGGAAAAGGTTAGTCCTAGGGAACGTAGCTACTGTTTGAGTCGTCGAAAATGGAGCTGTGCGGTTGAGAAGGTTTGCGTTGGGGAGTGTAAGAGCAAGCCTCAAGAACGGTCGTTGCTAGCTCTTCTTTGATGATCCTTTGCTGCAGACTTAGCTCGGCCGAGATGTTGATTTCTCCTTCGCCACGTTCGTGCCTCATTTCCCGTTTCTTCCCGAATAGTTTCCTAAACGAAACGGAGAATCCGGTGTTTGGATGCGATTCTTAGAGCGCCGCAACGCCTGTATACATAGCACCAGCTCCGTAGCTCCGTAGCTCAGTGAGGCCGCTCCGCTCTTGCTGTCGCAGCTTCTGGTTTAGACCTCCTCCCCTCTCCGTGACACTTCCTTTCCGTCTTCCCGTCGCTTCGCACCCTCCCTCCCTTCCCTTGATCTTCTTCCCTGCAATTCTTGATGGCTTTCCGTTTCAGATACGTTGGTTCTTGAGATTCTCCAAAAATTAATCGAGCTCTCGCGTCTCCCGTTCAATTCTCGACGGCTATCTCTTCCGCGCTGCACTGACGACTTCCGTTCCGCGAGCCGTTTCCGTTCCGCGCTGCGCTGATGGCTTTCATTTCGCACTGCACTGACGGCTTTCATTCCGCGCCGCACTGACCTCTCGCCGTTTGGCAGTATCCCACCTCATCTTACGGTGTCTTCCCCATCCTCTTCCCCATCCTCTTGTACATACCCTTACCCCAGCCCAGCCATGATTAGAGGAAAGCGACGCACCTGCTGGTGTTTCGGGAGCGCGGGGAGAGGCGAATCTATCCTTTTTTTCTCTCTCTTTCTACACTTATCCGTCGTACTCATCTGCATCCTCATTGGCATGTCCACTCCAACCACCAGCAGAGGAAGGCGACGCTGCTGCAAGAGTTTCAGATGCGCGGCAAGGCGCGTCTGTTTGGGTATCGGTTGTCTCTTCTGTTTCCGCTCACTTCTTGTCCATCTTGAATTTACATCCCCGCTTGCATTCGCCCTAACCGCCATCAGAGGAAGGCGACGCTGCTGCAGGAGTTTCAGCAGCGCGGCAAGGCGAACCTGTTTCTGGATCGGAGGTTCGGCGAGGGCGACGAGTCCATTCCCGAGGGCGAGAAGGCCATCGTACGATTCCAGAAGGAGCGCATGGTACGTCGTGACATGGCATGGCATGATACGGTATGGCACGGCGTGGTACAGTATGGCATGCCATTGCGCTACCTTGTGCTCTTTGCTCCTCCCGAGGGCGACGAGTCCATTTCCGAGGGCGAGAAGGCAATCGTGCGGTTCTAGAAGGAACGCATGGTACATCGTGGCATGGCATGGCATGGTACGGTACGGTAGGTTATGGCATTGCATGACATGGTACGCTATTCATGATTGTGACATGTCCTTGCGCTACTTTGCGTTCCGCCACAACGGCATGGGACTTTGCCACTGCCGATGCTTTGGGACGCTCTCTAAATCCCGCTCTTCCCATGTGTTTCTCCTTCTCTGGTTTTCCCAGGCCGCTGGCCCAGCTGGGTTGCAAGAACCGGTTTTCCCTCGGGGACGACTGCGACAGGCGAATCTGCTGTTGTCAGTGTTTTGTTATCTGTTTCCCATCCGTTTCTCCTTTCCGTTTCCCATCCGTTTCTCCTTTCCGTTTCCCTCCTCTCCAGGCCCAGCTGAGTCGCAAGAACCGGTTCTCCCTCGGGGACGACGACGAGAGCGACGACGACGACGGGGAGGGCGACGACGGAGGCGGAGGAGGCGCGGGGAGGCGCAGCAGCAGGCGGGCGGCGGCGAGTGAGGACGGCGACTTGCGTCTGACGCATGGCGGGCGCGACATTGACGACTTTGACGACTCGGACGTGTCTGGCTTTGGGGAGGATGAGGATGACGACGATGGAACACGTGAGTTGGTGATTGGGGTGTGTGGGCTGGTGATAAGAGTCAGGTTGCCTCTTCTCTGACGCACGGCGGGCGCGACATTGACGACTCGGACGTGTCTGGCTTTGGGGAGGATGAGGATGATGATGATGATGGAGCACTTTTGAGAATTCTCAAAAGACGATGATGGAGCACGTGAGTTGGTGATTGCAGTGTGCCAGTCACGACTCTTTTTCCTCTAGACCAGTTGATTGTGATTAACTCTTACATGTGTGGTGGCGACGAGGATGACAAGCACGCGCGTGGGCGGGAGATTGACGACTTTGACGACTCGGGCGTGTCGGGCTTCAGCGAGGACGAGGATGACGACGATAGAGCACGTGCGTAGGTGATTGGATTGTTACATGTTGATGATCAGAGTGTGTGAGTCAGTTGATTGTGATTGGTTTCCTCTCTCTAGACCAGTTGATTGTGATTGGTTTCCTCTCTCTAGACCAGTTGATTGTGATTGGTTCCCTCTCTCTAGACCATTTGATTGTGTGCACGCCGCGATCAACGCTCGTGTGTCCTGTTGCTGCGATGATGACAAGCATGTGCGTCGGAGCTATCCTTTTTCCTCGCGATGATGACAAGCGAAGCGAGTGTGTCGGAAGTATTTTTTTTTCCCGCGTGTCAACGAGGTCTTCCCCTCGCGCCTGTGTGCACTCGGCAACCAGATTGATGATGAGTCACATCACAAGGCCCCTCCATTTTTTTTGCTTCCTGTTTCTCATCCGTCTTCCTCGTGTGCCTCTGTCTAGCTCTTCCCCTCCCCTGTGCGCGTGCCTGTGTGTGTGTGTGTGTGTGTGTGTGTGTGTGTGTGTGTGTGTGTGTGTGTGTGTGTGTACAGTGGGCGATCAGATCGTGTGTGAGTAACAATCTGGTGGTGGTTTCGTTTTCAGGGCTGCTTTTCATCCGTCTTCCTTGTGTGCCTCTGCCCATCCCCCCCTCCCCTCCCGTGTGTGTGCGTGCCTCTGTGTGTGTGTGTGTGTGTGTGTGTGTGTGTGTGTGTGTGTGTGTGTGTGTGTGTGTGTTTGTGTGTGCAGTGGGCGATCAGATTGTGAGCGAGTATCACTTTGGTGGTGGCTTCGTTCCCAAGGCCAAGTCGGCCACAGACGCACATGTGAGCCTCTTCACTCGCCCTCTCGCCCTCTTCCCCACTCGCCCACTTGCCTTCTCGCCCACTCGCCCTCTTCCTCTCCCTTGTACCTGTTCCCCACTCTCTACCTGTTCTTTCCCCCCTCGCCCCCGCCCCCCCCCCCCCCTCTCTCACTCTCACTCTCTCCCTTTCTCACTCACTCACTCACTCACTCACTAACTCACTCACTCACTTGGTGTGAATGACTATCGTGTGTCCCGCCATGGCTGCTTGTCCTGTTCCATTGCTCAACTTCGTGCCTTCCCCATTCTCAGCTTGACGTAGAGGCAGAGGAGGAGGGAGGCGAGGAGCGACAGAAGACGAAGCGGGAGGTGATGGAGGAGGTGATGGCGAAGAGCAAGCTGTTCAAGGCGAAGCGGCAGGCGGAGAAGGAGAAGAAGAAATCCACTGTTTCATCTCACTCAACCCAACCCAATTCCTTCGTTTGCCCTTTTTTTTGTTCCGCATGGCCAGCTTGACGCGGCGACAGGGCAGGAGGAGGGAGGCGAGGAGCGACAGAAGACGAAGAGGGAGGTGATGGAGGAGGTGATGGCGAAGAGCAAGCTGTTCAAGGCGAAGCGGCAGGCGGAGAAGGAGGAGGACGAGCACCTGCGCGAGCAGCTCGACGCGGAATTCCGCCAGATCGCACAGTCTGACGCGCTGCTCGCGCTCACGCGCGCGCCCAAAGGGGGAAAGGGCGGAAAGGGCGCCAAGGGGGAGGAGAAGGCGGGAGGGGGAGGCGGGGAGGGAGGGGCGGCGGGAGGAGTGTCTGCTGCTGCGTCTGCTGGTGGCGCTGCTGGTGCTGCAAAGGCGGCTGCTGGTGGCTCGCTGCTGGCTGCTGACGTGGCTGAAGAGGTGCGAATGCCATCACCGTTGCTGCTGCTGTTCCTGTTGCTGCTGTTGCTGCTTCTTCTGTCCCCCACCCTCACTCTCATCTACGCGTTCTCTCGTTGCCCACCTTTGTGAATTTTACTTTGAGAATTCTCAAAGTAAAATTCACACTTCTGTCCCCCACCCTCACTCTCACCCGCGTGTTCTCTCGTTGCCCGCCTTCCTTGTCCTTACACCCTCTCTCTCCTCCACGTGTTCAAACCCACTTTCCTTGTCCTCCAAACTCACTCTCTCCTGCAACCTCACTGATTGGTGAAAGAGATGGAGGGCAGGCAGTGTAACCTGCAACCTCTCCTGCACCCTTTTTTCCCTCCTCCCTCTCCCTCCGCCACCCGCTCACTACCCACCTTCTCCCATGATCGGCAGGAGATGGACGACAAGCAGTACGACGTGTTGGCGCGGGAGATGGTGGTTGTCTCGCCTCTCTCTCTTCCACCCGCCTTTTATTCTCCTCCCCCCTTTCCCCCACGCTTGTCCATTGTCACCAGGAGATGGACGACAAGCAGTACGACGTGCTGGCGCGGGAGATGGTGTTTGACATCCGCGCCAAGCCCGGGGAACGCACCAAGACAGCAGAGGAAGCGGCAGAGGCGGAGAGGGCGCGTCTGGTGAAGCTCGAGGTAAGATTGGTAGAGACAGCAGGCTTGTTTCTGGGGAGATGGTGTTTGACATCCGCGCCAAGCCCGGGGAACGCACCAAGACAGCGGAGGAGGCGGCGGAGGCGGAGAGGGGGCGACTGGTGAAGCTCGAGGTGAGATTTTATCTTATGTGGTCAGATATTGCTTTTTCTCTGAAGGCCTTTGGAGTTTACTTGAAAATTACGACTTGTTTGTTCCCTGGTGTGATCTGTTTGCCTTCCATCCTCATGCCTAGTTTCTTGTGTCGACTCCCAAGCTCAACCTCTTTGTTTCCTTGTGTGCGTTAATCGCCCTCCCTTCTCCTCACGCCTTATACGCAGGCTGCAAGGGAGAGGTGTATGGATGGGGAACCCAGTGACGACGACGATTTTTTTGTGGACTCAATTGCTGTGTGTGCGGTGGTTACACTCTTTCCCCCTGCCTTGTGTGCAGGCTGCAAGGAAGAGGCGTATGATTGGGGAGCCCAGTGACGACGAGGAGGAGGGAGAGGAAGGGGAGGAGGGGTCTAGTGAGGAGGAGGGCGGGAAGGGGAGGAAGAGGCGGCAGAGGAAGAAGGTCAAACGGGAGATCTCTGGGGACGATTTAGGGGAGAATTTCGTGTTGGAGGAAGATGAGGAGGACGAGGAGGAGAAGAAGGGGTGGGTTTATGATGTATTGGGTCAGAAGGGGGAGGAGAGCGAGGATGAGAGTGGGAGTGAGGGGGAAGAGGAGGAGGAGGATGAAGAGGAGGATGGGGCGGAGAATCTAGCTGACGTGGATTGGGAGCAGAGTGATGAGGAGATTGGAGGGGAGAGGGTGAAGGGGAAGCGAGGGTCTGTGAGGGATGTGAAGCAGGATGAGGAGGAGAGCGAGGAGGAGGAAGGAGAGGAGAAAGAGGAGGGAGAGGAGAGTGATGAGGAGGAGGAAGCGGAGGAAGAGAAGGAGGGGGAGAAGCATAATATGGAAGAGAGAAATGCAGCAGCAGCAGCAACAGAAGAGCAGGAGGATGAGGAGGAGGAAGATGAGGAGGAGGACGAGGAGGAAGAAGAGGAGGAGAATGAGCGCATAGAGAGGGTGTTTCGACGGCGCGAGCTGCCATACGTGATAGAAGCACCACAGCAGCTGAAGGACCTGCAGCGGCTGCTAGAGGGGCGCGCAGCAGCAGAGGTTGGCGTGGCAATCGCACGCATCCGCGCGTGCAACGCGGCGCACCTGTCCCCAGACAACAAGCGCAAGATGCAGATCTTCTATAACGTTCTCCTGCAGTACTTCGCGTCGCTGGCTAGTGATAGTGGTGGCGGTGGTGTGTCTCAGCGGGTGGAGGAGGAGGATCAGCCAGGGAAGAAGCAGAAGCAACAGCACGAGCAGCAGCAGAAACAGCAAGGGAGCAGGCAGCAGGTGAAGCCGCAAGGGGGGAGGAAGGTGGAGGAGGGGAAACAGGAAGATAAAGAGGTGGAGGAGGAGGAAGAGGCGACGAGTGAGTTGCAGAAGAGGGCGCCGTCAGTGGCAGCGGCGCACATCAATGCGTTGGTGCAGCCTCTCGTGGAGCTCTCCGCGTCCTTCCCTCTCTTTGCTGCCGTCTGCGCCCGCGAGCGGCTTGCCCGCATGCAGAAACGCCTCGTGGCGCGCCTCAAGGCCGGAGGTACGGTGCGGTATGGTGCGGTACGGTGTGGTGCTGTGCGGTACGGTGCGGTACGGTATAGGACTGAATGGGTTGGGGGCCCGTGTGCAGCCGCTTGTGGAGCTCTCCGCGTCCTTCTCTCTCTTCGCTGCCGTTTGCACCCGCGAGCGGCTCGCCCGCATGCAGAAACGCCTCGTGGCGCGCCTCAAAGCCGGAGGTACGATGGGATACAGTGCGGTACGGTGTGGTACGGAACTGTACAGTAGGTACAGCACATGTCGCTGCTGCTAAGCAGTACCTTGGTTCGGTTCCCCGTTATCCCCTCGCAAGTGTTCCGAACCCGCTGTATTCCTCTCCCGTATCTCAGAGCCAGCACGGCTTGTTTGAGACGTCTCAAAAGATTGAAGAAGTGTTTTGAGGCGTCTCAAAACACTTCTTCAATCACGTGGTTTCCCTTTATCCCCTAGCAGGTGTTCCGCACCCCCTGTATTCCTCTCCCGTATCTCAGAGCCAGCATGGCCCACGACACACACGCTGCTGCTCCTTTGTCTCTGGGCGCTCATCTTCCCCCCTCCGACTTCCACCACCCCGTCATGACGCCCTGTAATGCCCTTCCCTGCCCATTCCCTCCCCTCCCCACCCCGTCCCCCCTTTTGTTCCTCTCCTCTCAGAGCCAGCATGGCCCACGGCGCGCACACTCCTCCTGCTCCGTCTGTGGGCGCTCATATTCCCCTCCTCTGACTTCCGACATCCAGTCATGACGCCCGTCTCGCTGCTGCTGGGCCAGTTCCTCTCCTGCTGCCCTGTGCGCTCCACCAAGGACGTGGCAGCTGGCCTCTTCATATCTGCGCTTCTGCTCAATGTAAGAACTAGTGTCCACTGCTGCTGCTCCTGCTCCTGCTGCTCCTGCTGCTGCTGGGCCAGTTCCTCTCCTGCTGCCCTGTGCGCTCCACCAAGGATGTGGCTGCGGGGCTGTTCATATCCGCTCTCCTCCTCAATGTGAGTGTCACTCTCACATGCATACTCAAGTTCCTGCGTGCGGCACTGATCTCGCTGCTGCTGGGCCAGTTCCTCTCCTGCTGCCCTGTGCGCTCCACCAAGGACGTGGCAGCTGGCCTCTTTATATCCGCTCTCCTCCTTAATGTGAGTCTCACTGTTGCTGCCAATTTACTCCCCGCTACTGCCATTTGAAAACCCCTGATGCTCCCCTAACTGCCGCTTTTGCTGTCGTCACTGCCCCTACATCTCATCCCACTGACTCACCGTCACTAGCTACCTCCCCTCTCCTCCCCCTCACTTCGTTCCAGATGGTGTCTCAGAGTCGTCGCTTTGTCCCAGAGGCGCTTAACTTTCTGCATGCGCTGCTGTGGAGCGCTGTTGCCCCCGCCCTCAAACCCGTCAAGCCCAAGGTATGGCCTTTCCTCCTCCCGTGATCACACATCACATCACATCACATCACATCACATCACATCACATCACATCACATCACATCACATCACATCACATCACATCACACAGTTTTGAGTCAACTCGAAATCTATATTGCACGCACTGCTGTGAAGCGCTGTTGCCCCTGCGCTCAAACCTCGTCAAGCCCAAGGTATGCTTCTCCTCCCATTCCTTCTACCCAACGTCCTCCCGCCCTTCCTCCCCTTCCTCCTCCTTTCGTGATTAGTTTGCGTCATTGTTTCGGCCCCCGTTTCTCGTTTCCTCCTCTCCATCTCGTCCCACCCCCACTTGCAGGGAGTGCCGCGCTATATGCTGCTGCAGGTGTGCTCGCAGCAGTGGCTGTGGGCGCCGTGTGGCGACGGCAGCAACCACCGCAAGCGCAAGCGCGAGCCGCTAGAAGACAAACCCGAGGCCCTCGACTTTGACCGCATCTTCCTGGGACCTTCCTGCCCGTCCAGCACTTCCGGCACCACTGAAACTACCACCAGCACCACTGCCAACCCATTTGTTTCCAAGGCTTCGCCCTCCGCTTCTCCTGCTGCTCCTCCCACCCTGCTGGGTGTGGAGGGCAGTGCAGCAGGGACCGTGGCAGAGGCCTACTTTGGCTCCGACGTCTTCAGGTAGGTTCAGGTGGTTTCAGGTAGGTTCAGGTGGTTTCAGGTAGGTTCAGGTGGTTTCAGGTAGGTTCAGGTGGTTTCAGTTTTTTTCCACGGTGGCTTCTGGTAGGTTCAGGTGATCTCATGTAGTTCTGGTGGTTTCAGGTTATGACTCAGGTTCAGGTGGCTTGCTCCTTGGCGCTCCTCTACCGCCCCATGTGCTGCTACTGGTGCTTGTCCCCACTACACCCGCCCACTTCTCCCCCCACCTCTTCCCCTATCTCCCCCTAACCTCCCCCACACACAACCCCAGGCTGAGTCTGCTGCTGGCAGTGCTCAAGACCCTCCGCTCCTTTGCGCTGCTCTACCGCCCCATGCAGCCCTTCCCCGAGATCTTCGCGCCCTTCCTGCCCACTCTCGCCGCCCTCGCGGAGTCCGGGCAGCTGCCCGAAGAAATCGAGCAGGAGCGGGCAGCGTGGGTGAAGGATATCGAGGGGGCGGTGGCGGAGGTGGAAGGTTCCAGGCAACCGCTGCGGCTGAGGGTAAAACGGGCCGTACCTGCGAAGCAGTTCAACCCGAAATTCGAGTCTGAGTACGTTTTAAGATATGGGGGGTAAGGGAACGTTTATACGAGGTGGTAAACCGGGGATAGGGGACTGAGGGTGAAACGGGTCGTGCCTGCGAAGCAGTTCAACCCCAAGTTTGAATCTGAGTACGTGTTGGGAGGAGAGGGATAAGGGAGCGTTAAGAGGTGCGGTCTGAGCACGTGTTGAGAATGAGAGGGATAAGGGAGTGCTGTAACGGAAAGGTACATCTGAAACTGGGGGCTGAGGGTGAAACGGGCTGTGAATGCTAAGCAGTTCAACCCCAAGTTTGAATCTGAGTACGAATTGGGAATGATAGTGTGTGGTTTTGAGTACGAATTGGGAATGATAGTGTGTGGTTTGGGTCTGGGTAGGTGCGGAGATGAGACGGATGGGTGGGAGGTAGAACGAAATGGCAGTCGGAGGCTTGGAGAAGTGCCGGCGAAGTAGTTCAACCCCAAGTTTGAGTCTGAGTAGGTGTTGAAGTTAATGGAGTGGTTTGAGTCTTAATTATGTATCGAGGTTCCAGGCACCCGCTGCGGCTGCGGTTGAAGCGGGCCGTGCCGGCGAGGCAGTTCAACCCCAAGTTCGATCTGAGTACGTTTTGAGAATGATATCGAGGTACCTGGGTACGGAATGAAGGACAAGCCGGAGGTGGGTCGGAGGGGTGAAGGTGGGTGGTGGGGGCAGCAAGGAATCTGCGCCAGGACAGCCAGCTCCATGATTCTTTAGGCCCCTCAAAAATACACCTTGTGAGAGAGTTCGTGAGAGAGTGGCTCAAGAACAACTAGTTCCGCGCTGCTATACACGCACACCACGCCGCTGCTGCTCCTGCTCCTGCTGCCCCCACAGTGGATGCTGGCGCCTGCTCTCCCCTCATGTGCACTCCTTTCTCCTGCCTCCCTTCCCTCCTTCCCCGTGTTCCCCTGTCCTTCCCCCGCGCTCTCCCTTCCGTCGCTTCCTGTGTTCCTTTTTTCTCCTTTCGCTCCAGTTTCGCCCGTGGCAAGGACTACGATCCGAACAGGGAGCGCGCAGAGCAGCGGCGGCTGCAGCGGGCGATCAAGAGGGAAGCACGAGGAGCAGCTAGGGAATTGCGCAAGGATAACCAATTCCTCGCTGCCGCCCGCGCTAATGAGGCTGCGAACGCACTGGAGGAGCGGCGGGAGAAGAACCAGCGGGCCATGGCGTTCATGGAGCAGCAGGCGCACCTCATGTGGTCGGGGCAGCTGGGAAGGAAGAGGGGCGGTATGAGCAGCGGGAAGGGCAGGCGGTAGGAGGCAAAAAGTGAAGGGAAGTCAGGGAAAGGGATTCGAGGGAAGCAGCTGCTGCTGAGGGGGGGCGGCGGGAGAAGAACTAGCGGGCCATGGCGTTTATGGAGCAGCAGGCGCACCTCATGTGGTCGGGGCAGCTGGGGAGGAAGAGGGGTGGTATGAGCAGCGGGAAGGGCAGAAGGTAGACGTAAAGTTGAGGCTTTAAGGGGGCAGGTGGGGAGGCAAAGACGATTTCTGGCTTGACTCAAAAATTGCCTTATTACACGCAGCGGCAGGGGCAGAAGGTAGAAAGGAAGACGAGGTTCCAAGGGGTAAGGTGGGAAGGCAAAGAGGGGAATTTGAGAGCAGCAGTTGCTGTGGCAGCAGAGGAGACGGTCAGCTGTGGAGGCGACTCAAATGTCACCTGTCTAGGACGGAAGGCGAGGTGCCAAGAGCTACAATGTGACGACAGGTGACCGTTTCTTGCTCTTGTAGCTCCTGCCAAGCCAGGTGCCAAGAGCTACAATGTGGCGGAGGCTAAGAGTGGGGATTTGAGGACTGCTGCTGCTCCAGAGTGCAAGGAAGGCCGTGAGAGTTGAAGGAAAATGAGGTGTGGAGGGAATGGGAGTGTGTGTGGGAAGTGGTGTGACTGGGCATGTGAAGCTGATGCGAAGCTGACAATTTGACTTGTGCATGTGTGCACTGGAGCTAACTTTTTTGGCGTGTGATTATTGATGAGCAGACGCAGCAGGGTGTGTGTTGGTGGAATGCCAATGCCTTGTGCATGTCAGTGCATGGGTGGCATGGCATGTCCTGGAAAGTGGGTGTGTCTGCATGTATGTATGTGCGCACACGTGTGCATGTGTTTGAGCATGTGTGTGTGAATGTGTCTGTGTATGTTTGTTTGTTTGACTTCGGTCACCTAAAAGAAAGAAAAGAAAAGAAGAAAAACTGGGGGTTGAAACACTAACTTTCGGCGTTGCTGTGTGATTTGAAATGAAGAGAGGCTGTGGCGGGTGATGGTGGATGACCGAGTGGAGACAGCAGAGGCAGTGTGGAGGGACTGGTGCAAGTCACGATGGTCTATGAGGCTTTTGAAAAAGCCCTCAGCCTCAAATAGAGGCTGACTGCGGGTGGTGATGGCGGATGGGTGGGTGGAGACAGTAGGGAGGTGTGCAGGGACTGGTGCAGGCAGGGAGGGGCGGTGGAGGCAGCGTGCAGCAGAGGAACGACTGAGCAGGAAGGAGCATCTATAGCATTCTGTGGAGGGAGTGTGGATTGTGGAGGGATTTGAACTGGCGGCATGGCGGGCATTGCACCGAGCGAGAGCGGGTTTTAGGAGCAGCTTGGACCGACAAGGGACCTGCAGTGGAACACCATGGCTGTGCAGAGTGGTCAGTGCAGGGGCAAAGGAAAGACACACGGATGTTACACTTTCCCCTGTGTGGGGACGGGAGGGCAGGGGGTTGGGTGGTGTGACGTGAGATGGCATGAGTGGCTTGACTTTGTTGTTGCCATAGAAGAGTGCAGGCACTGTGTCACTCGCTGATGCAGGTGCCTGGCTGTGTGCAGTGCCAGGGTCCCACCAGCCTGCCTGCTGCTGCTGCTGCTGCTGCAGGTTCCCGCCTTTTTTTGGTTTTGTTGTTTTCTGATAAGGCCACGCAGTGATTGCATGTGGTACCTGCTGCTGTGGCTGGGACTTCTGTCTTTCTTGGGAATTTTGTTCTGTCTATGATGCTGTGCCCAATTTGTTCTGCTGCTGCTGCTGCTGCTGGGTGTGTGTACACCTTGGTGAGTGTATGAACACCCAGCAGCTCGCTTGATTTCTCAGACTGTATGCATGCTACTTAGTGTCTGTTCCTTACTGAAACATTTACTCCCTACTAGCATTAAAGTATTTACTCATCAAAACCACTAGCTTGACAAGTATTGAGTGTTATCCAACTGTATGGTACGAGATCGTGACTCGTCCCTCGAGCATCCATCTGTTAATTCCCTGGTCCAACAGCGCGTATGTTTTGGGAGGTCCAATCTTTTCTCCACCGACCTGTGTTCCAGTGCACAGGTTTGATGGTCAAAGGCACGGAGAATCACATGCAAGTACAGTACCCTGAACCAGTCGTCGCACTCTTTCGTGCGTGGAGGAGACGCGACGTTGACCGAGTCCACGATTGCCCATTCAGTGGGTCAGCTGAAACTGGTTGAATATCTACTTCCTCTGATCAGCTGTACTGAACCGTCACTACACCTGCCAAGTGTAATTACACACGATGCCCGGTTGAGCCCCCCGACCTTGCCTTACCCTTCGGGCGTATAAACGATTCCTGCATTTCGCGGAGGTTTCGTCAATTCGTTTCGGGAAAAAAGGGCTTATAACTCACCGTTGACTTTTTGACTGCCTTCTCTTCAGTCAGACTTCAGCTTCTGTGGTTCGTATTGGCTGACGTGCTTGTAACGTGGGTGCAGCCTCACGGCACAAAACCCACGGATGCAAGGTTTCCATCAGGTACGAGGCAATTTCGCGTGCAGGGGGTGAGCATCATGTGTAGCATCTTTCCTCCACCTCTAGTGAAATTTCTGGGCAATATTGTAACAAACTTATCTATCTTTGCCCTGAATGCGAGGATATCACCCCTCAGCTTTCCTAGCACTTTCCATCGCCCCCGCAGCCACACAACCCCTTCCCCACCCCATCCCCCACCCGCCCCGTGGCAGTTGCGTTGAAACCGAATCTGCGCTCACGACCACCGCAAGCCTTTCCCTCTTCCTCCCCTCTCCGCCTCCCCCCCGCTCAACTTCTACTTGCCGTTGCTCTGCCTTCCCCTGGTCAAATTTATGTTCCCCTCCCCCCTCCCTGCAATCCAAGAATTCTCCGATTTTCTTTCGCACCGCAGCAACAGCCGCCCCTGCCACTGACTCTCAAAACGCACACGCTTCGGGGGGGACAATGTTGCGCGCAGCAAGCTGCGGAGTCCCAGTTGTTGACAGCGCCAATCAGCGAGTGTGGGATGGGAAAGCAGTTCATCCCCCTCTTCCCCCTTCCCTCCCTTCCCTTCCGAACCCCACCCACCACCGAAGTACAACTGGCACCCCGCAACACCCGAGGTGAAGCACCAGCTGCTCCCTCCCGCACAACCTCGATTCCGCAATTTCCCCCGGCGACCATTCCCCGACGGCCTTCCCCCCGACGACCATTCCCTGCAAATCCTTTCCGTCCAACATCCATCGCATCCCTTCCCATCGCAACGCATATCATCCTATCCCAACCCATCCTACCCAATCCAAACCAGCCCCATTCCCTCTCGTTCCCGTCCTTCCGTCGCGCTTCAGTCCCCTCCCTCGCACATCAGAAACCTCTGTGGTCTGACTTTTTCGTGTGCACCAGCTGCGTTTCTCGTTACAAACTGCAACACTTGCCCACTTCATTGGCAGCACGCCTGCCACAGCCAAAAAATCCACTAATTCGTCCGACCGAATCCCATTGCACACACGAACCCAGTCGTCCCTCTTCTTCCACGCCTCATTCTATTCCAATGTACGGCTTTTTTCCACAAAACAACCTGCCGACAGTCGTCTTCTCTCAGCAACAGGCCATCCTCTAGTCTGTAACGTGGAGTCAGCTCGGCCCCCACAGTGTAACGTAGAGGCGTCGCTTCGGTCCCATTCCTCCTTGTGTAGATTTCAGAAGTGACTCCAGCACTGGTAGCGGTCGTCAGCTGTGCCTCTGCCCTCTCCCCTAGTCCAGGTGTATTTCGAGCTGACTCAGACTACGTCATCAGGCCTCCAATGTGTAACGCAGCATCGTTATTTCAGTCCCTTTCTTCCTCGCACTAGTATCAGTTGTTTGCCATGCTTTCCCTTGGTCCGATCGTTTCTCATCCGCTCGTTTTCCGGACTCGCTTTGCCTCCTCCCACAAGGCTTGCGCTTTTTGAAGTAATTAAAATGCTTTATCTGCTGGAACGTGACACCCGAATTGCAGCTACTATATATGACGCGCCTCAGAAATAGGCCGACGAGCGGCGCGCTCTATGCAGATATAGCAAGCTCTACCAGTAATCTCTGACACACGCGTCTCGGCAATCACCCGTTAACGAAAGGAAAAACACACATACTATCTGCGACGGCCATGGCCTCCCAAATCCTCGCCAATCGTTCGCAACGAATCGGAGTCTACTTTCCTTTCGAAGACGATTTCAGAACCGCGCCGCGGCATAGCAGCAGCATGAGAGAGCCTCGCCATACCAGTGACGTCATGGCAGCGGCAGAAATCCATGACACCAAGGCAATCCATGACACCATTTCCTCCCAAGTCCTCGCCGGTAGTAGCAATCATCCAAGTTCGAGTCGTCGTTTTGGAAGTTTTAATCGGCCAGTGCTCGATTTCCCGCGCGCCGCGACCACCCGTTGCCACGTCAGCATGCTTCTAGACCAGTTGGAGGAGCGATGCCGCCTCGCGGCGCAAACGCGACAGCGGTACTACCGAAGCTCGAGCTGCACCCGCGGCGCGCCGCCGAGCCAGCAGATCCAGCCGTATCACTTCCCCCCAAGCTGGTCGGAACCGTGGCTCGTCGGCAGCTTCGGGCCGAGGCTGGAGGCTCGGTTCGAGATCGGGGAGGAGCTGGGGCGCGGGCATTTCGGCGTGGTGCGCGCGTGCCGGGAACGGGGCAGCGGGGCGACGTTCGCTTGCAAGACAATCAGCAAGGAGCTGCTTCAGGTGCGGCTCCTCTTGCTCCTCGTGCTCCTCGTTCCCTTTTGAGGCGCCTAAAAAAAAAACTGCGGGATAAGAGACGACTTTTGAGTTCCTCGTGCTCCTCGTGCTGCGCTGCTTTCACAGGGCTCGCGGGAGATGGATGGAGGAGCTGCGCGCCGAGGCATTGACGCCGCTGCTGAGATGGGTGAGAGTGAAATCACGTCTCACCACTAACTACCGATTCCCCTTGCCTTGTGCTGTGCTGTACTGGGTTGTGCTCGCAGGGCTCGCGGGAGATGGAGGAGCTGCGCGCCGAGGCACTGACGCCGCTGCTGCTGCAGCAGATGGCGGAAGAGGAGGAAGAGGAGAGAGCAAGAGAAGGGGACGAGGAGGAAGCAGTAAACCCAGTCAACCCAGTCAACAGCACAGAGAGGTCCCCCTGGGAGGGCCTGGTGCGTCTACATTCAGTGTACGAGGACAACTGGGGGGTGCACCTGGTCATGGACCACTGCAGCGGAGGAGACCTGTTTGACCTCGTTGACCGGTACGCTGAGTCAGCGGGCATGCCCGAACAGCTGGCGGCCGCTGTCGTGGGCCAGCTGGCTGCCACGCTGGCGTGGATGCACTCCGTGGGGGTGGTGCATCGGGACTTAAAGCCCGAGAACATCCTGCTGGCTCGGCCTTTCTCAGGGGACGCGGGCAGCTTTCCGAACCTCCACCTCTGCATTGCCGACTTTGGCCTGGCAAGGCGATTGGCCCCTGGGGAGCACCTGACAGGCTTGGTAGGGAGCCCTTTTTACTTGGCCCCTGAGGTCGTGAAAGGTCACCTGTATGACCACCAGGTGGATGTGTGGAGCCTCGGGATTATCCTCTACACCTGCCTTTCCGGGAAGCTTCCCTTCCATGGCCCGAACCACAACGCCGTGTTTGCTGCTGCGTGCCGAGCGGCGCCGGATCTGGTCTCGCCGGAGCTGTGGGGCGGGGTTTCTGCCGAGGCTAAGGATCTGGTTCGGAGGATGCTGGAGAAGGAACCTGGGAGGAGGATCAGGTCTGGTGAGATTCTTTCGCATCCTTGGTTTGACACGGTGGGGCGGAGGAGAAACTTGTTGAAAGCTGAACTGAGGACAGAGGTACATGCTTTCGGGACTACCAGCAGCAGTAGTGTGGGTATTAGCAGCAGCACAGCTGGTTCGGAATCAAGAAGCAGAACAGCAGTACAAACAGCAGCATTTCGGCCAGCAGCACAGCCAGCAGCAGCAGCAGCAGCAGAATGCCCCTTGTACAGTCCTGCAGCTCCCAGTGACGATCTCCCTTTGATCAACACAGAAGCGCAACGAGTCTCGTTCCTGCCGTGGACTGGCGTTGACTGCCATGGACTGCCGTGGAATGGCGTTGACTACAGCAGCACTGGTGCGAGTGGCTGTAGCACAGCAGGGAGCGTGACTGCAGCGAATGTGGCTGTGAAGAATTCGCCAATAGGAGGCATGAGCAGCCCGAGCATTCTCCAGTCCCAACCTTGGCAGTCAAGCCAATTGAGTCAGTTCCAGCCTGCATCAAGTCAACTGAGTCAAACCACTGCGTCACATCAATCCAGTCAGTCAAGTCAACCCAGTCAACCTAGTCAACAGGACCAGTATCCGTGTGCAGAAGACACTGCTACCCCTCACCTCACTACCACGCCCACTCCCAAAGCAACTGCCAACGCTGCAGCTGATCCCAACCACCTCACCACCCCTCCCCAAGATGATGCCACTTCTTCCCATTCCCCCACGCCCCCCCGACCCACACCCCCTCGCCCCCTCTCCATCTGTCCCCCTCCCCCCCCTTCCCCTCGCACCCTTGCCACCTGTACTACCCCTACTCCCCGCACGCCCTCTCGCGCTCTCTCCGCCCGTCCACGCAAACCAACGAACCAATCACCACGCCCTGCCGCTCCTTCCCCTCCAGCACTACCCCCCTCGCTGCTGACTCAGCTCCGGGCTGACAGGGTGGCAGATCTGATGCGGCTGTTTCAAGCCTGCCAGGCTGGCAGCTCAGATGATGTGGCAAGGTGTCAAGGCAGCAGGCTGTTGGTTTAGTGCAGTTGGAGCAAATTAAAAACAAATAATCAATTATTAAGCTGGTTCACATCGTCCCAATGTGCAAGGAAAATTCCTTTTCCTTACTTCGCGTCCCAACTCAGTGCGTACACAACTGTAGCACCACAGTCAGCACCGTTACCACTCGCAACCACCGCATCGACTAATCCTCCCGCCACCTTCGCACGTCGCACCCCGACCTCACGGCTCGGCGGGTAATCCGCGCCCCGGGCCTCCGCTTCGACAATTCCCCAAGCCTCAGTCCCAGGCCCGTCGCACGACAACCAGTGCCCTAGATATCAGACTTTGGAGTCTGAATCAGAGTCCGTTCAGACTTTTTTTTTGTACCTAGTCTGAACTCCAAGAATTTATTTATGTACCTTGTCTGATTTTCCAGAGTTTTTTCTTATAAGTTGTCTGAAATTTCAGCCTAATTTTACTAGGGTAGGCTGAGCCTCAGACTTGTATCGGGGGTTCACTCTGCGCACTTATCGGAGGAAAGTTTCCTGGAAGTTTCCTTCCGATATGCCCACTTCCGAGATGGCAGTGGAGTGCCAGGACATGAGCAACGCTCACTTCGACAGCTGGGACATCCAAATACACTCGTTCGTCGAGAATATATTCCAGTTACACTGAGGAAATGGTTGCGTGATTACGTGATTTCTGAAGACAAAATCTCGTCACATGTAAGTTATCACTAATGTATTGTAAAGAATAGGCGACTTTGATGCTGACTCGCTGTAAAAACATCTGCAGCACGCACTGGCGTGAATTGCGAAGTTCCTGATTCGTACTGAAAGTTTCGTGTGGCACTTGTCTGATCCTCACATGCCACGCCAAGCAACAGTTTTGCCTGCTGCCAGCTCAGCTGCGTGGCACTTGGCCCACCTGATACAGATCGGGTGAACTGAACGATCGAATCGCTTGAAAAGCAAATCCAAAACTGACAAAATCGGCACACATGCGAGAAAATGGGTACAGAACGGTAATCACACACACGACAAAACGAAATGAGATCAGCAGAGCAGAAACAACCATGCGCTTCACGTGACAAAAACACTGGAACGCCGCCGATATGAACAGAGGCGATGCACGAGCACGAGCACGTTGCCTGATGCGTTGGGATGGTAGGCTGTAATCAGCCTCAATGCTATTATAACTGCTTTTACGAAACTGCATGAACATCTTAAAATTTGAAGTAACTCTGACAGTTCAGACAAAAAAAATTGTGCTTGTCTGAATTTTCAGACTAAAATTTTGAGGCACCTCTGACAGACAGAGTTCCAAGAGGGGTGTACTCTGAGGCCTCAGACTACCTCAAAACGAATCTAGGGGCCTGACAACAACCAACCACAGTTCATTACCGATACCACTTTAGTTTCGCTATACCGGTAATCCCCCGTGCTGCGATCACAAGTTGATCGTGGCCTAGGATCTACTCAGGAAGGTTCGCACGCAGAGAAGTGATGTTGGTGGGCCCTTGACCTCAATAGCAGAGTGAATGTAAAATGCTTTGTGTCAAACTTATTTGTATCACTTTCATTCCTTAGTCAATCCATTCTCGTTCTAAGTTTCTCATGGTATCGAGCAGGTTCCCTAGTGGGAACTGTCCTAGGGCCCACCAAGATCGATTTTTTTTCCTGCTCGGGGCGCGCGTTGTCCCCTGCCCCAGGCGCGCCTAGTGTTCTGCCCTTAGCGGCTCGTCGCGCCCTCCTTAGCGGCCCCGTCGCGCCCTCCTTAGCGGCCCCGTCGCGCACTCCTTAGCGGCCCCGTCGCGCCCTCCTTAGTGGCCCATCGTACCGCCCTTGGCGGCCCCGACGCCGCCCCTACCGGCCTCGTTGCCGCCCTTGACGGCCCTGTAGCCGCCCCTTCCGGCCCCGTCGCTGCCTCCCCCTTTCAGCGGCCCCGTCGCCGCCCTTTCAACGGCCCCGTCGCCGCCCTTTCAGCGGCCCCGTCGCCGCCCTTTCAGCGGCCCCGTCGCCGCCCTCTCAGCGGCCCCGTCGCCGCCCTCTCAGCGGCCCCGTCGCCGCCTCTTAGCGGCTTCGTCGCCGCCCTTTCAGCGGCCCCGTCGCCGCCCTTTCTGCGGCCCCGTCGCCGCCCTTTCAGCGGCCCCGTCGCTGCCCTCTCAGCGGCCCCGTCGCCGCCCTTTCAGCGGCCCCGTCGCCGCCTCTTAGCAGCTTTGTCCCCGCCCTTCCGCGGTGTCGAGAGTCTAAGTAATTTAAGAGTAGAAACGGGGGCCTAGGCTTAGTAGCCTAGGCCCTAACTTAGGTATCGAGCGGGTTTTCCCTTAGGAGCAATGTCGAGTGAGTTGAGAGGGAAATTGGTGAAAAGGTGGTTTCACTATAGGTTCAGGGGTACATATAGCATAGAAACAAAATAAGGTGCACCACCAACAAAAGTTTACATAACTACACTAACTACAACTACAAGCAATTATAAAACATGACAAAATATTTCGACACGCCCCCATAATGCTTGTAGGTAGGTATGTAGTTACAGCAACAGCAGGTACCCCTACCATCTCCTCACCCTCCTCCTTCCCCTCCCCCACACTGCTGCAGAAGCAGCAGAGAAAGGGGGAAGAGAGGAGAGGTGGAGGGACGGCTGCTTGTTGCCTCACACCCGCCACCCCGGTACCACTCCCCCTCCTCACCCACATCCTCACACCCTCCTCCCCCAGCGGCAGCTGCAGCGGTGGGACTGAAAGAAGGAGGAGGGAAAGGGAGAGAGTTGACCCCACGCTCCAACACCCTCCACCCCCATACCCTCCTCCCCACGGCTGCAGGGAGACAAGAGAAAGGGGGGGGTGGGAAGGAAGAAAGCCGCAGAGCGGCGAAGAGGCGTCGGTGCAGATGGGTCAGGGGCGGCAGCAGGGAGTGCAGGGGCGGAAAGGCCCGTCGCGGGCCAGTGCCACGGGGCGCACGACGGGTAGCATAAAAGGGCCCGATCGTGTGCCTCGGGGCACACGACGAGCAGGGCACCATCGTGTGCCACGGGGCGCACGATGGGCAGTAGAAGGGCACCGTCGCGTGCCACGGGGCGCGCGACGGGCAGGGAAGGAGTCACACGCCCGTGGGCGGGACAATGTAAAAATAAAGTCGTCACGCGCCCTAGGCGCGCGACCGGAAAACCTTAGCAGCGGAAGTGTAAAGTGGGCCCACAGGCCAGGACGAACCTAGCTCCGATAACATGTCGAGAGTCTAAGTAATTTAAGAGTAGAAACGGGGGCCTAGGCTTAGTAGCCTAGGCCCTAACTTAGGTATCGAGCGGGTTTTCCCTTAGGAGCAATGTCGAGTGAGTTGAGAGGGAAATTGGTGAAAAGGTGGTTTCACTATAGGTTCAGGGGTACATATAGCATAGAAACAAAATAAGGTGCACCACCAACAAAAGTTTACATAACTACACTAACTACAACTACAAGCAATTATAAAACATGACAAAATATTTCGACACGCGGCCCCGTCGCCGCCCTTCAGTGGCCCCGTTGCCGCCCCTTTCTGTGGCCCCCTCGCCGCCCTTTCCGCGGCCCCGTCGCCGCCCCTACTCGGCCTCGTCGCCGCCCCTTTCGGCGGCCTCGTCGTCGCCCTTCAGCGGCCCCGTCGCCGCTCCTTCGCGGCAGCGACGCCGCCCTTCACGGCCCCGCCGAGCCCCCTTTGCCGAGCCGCTGAGCCGCCGAGCCGCCTTTGCCGCCGAGCCGCCGAGCCGCCGAGCTGCCGAGCCGCCGGGCCGCCGCAGCTGAGACGCCGCCGTCGATGCAGTAGCGGCCCTGTCCCTGCCGGCCTGCCTCGGACCATCTCCCTTGCCTGGTAAGCGCAACGCCTCTGCCACTGCACTGCCCTACCCCGCTGTGCTCACTGTCTGTCTGCTGTTGTCATGGCCACCCCCAGTGTTCTCACCTTTGATGCTGAGGGTCGGGCTGTTGACTTTGAGGTCTGGGTAGATCATCTGCAGCTTTTCCTACAGTGCGATAGGGCAGACGGTCTCTCCCTGTTTGACCTCACCTCTGGTGCCTCTCCTGCCCCTGCTGCTAATGCTGACGCCACTGTTCGCTCACAGTGGGCCACGCGCGATGCTGCTGCTCGCCTTGCTGTGCGCCGCCACTTACCGACCGCTGAGCACACGCATTTTAGTCAGTACAAGAGTGCTAAGACCTTGTACGACGCTGTCGTTGCACGCTACTATTCCCCTGCCACTGCTGCCCTTAGCCGCCTCATACTGCCGTACCTCTTCCCTGACCTCGCCGCTTTTCCCACAGTCGCTGACCTCATTACGCACCTTCGCACTAGTGACATTTGCTACCGCGCTGCACTTCCTGCTGAGTTCTGCGCTAAGAACCCCCCCCCCTATGTACATCACCCTCTACTA